ATAAACACTAAAAAGAGCAAACGGCCTAAGACACTACCTTGTATTACACCACTTCTAACAGGGACAGCGTTAGACAATGAAGAGTTAATTTTAACTATTTGATGTCGATTGCTGAGAAATGAATCAATCCAATCTAGCTAAGGATTTTGAACCCCATAAGATGCAAGTTTGCCTATAAGAAGTTGGTGACTAACCATGTCAAAGGCTTTAGAAATGTCCAGATATAGCACTAAGACTAGATATCCTTGGCTACGTAGAGAGTAGACTAAATTGTTCATGTCAGTCTTATCTCCAGATTTATAACGTGGTATGATGTACGCGGTTTTCCAACAGTAAGGGTAAGAACCAGTTTCCATAGAGAGAGTAAACAGCTTTAGAAGAAGAAGTGGAATATCTGGACCACCGTATTTGTAGAGAAAGGATGGAATCCTGTCTGCTCCATGACCGCGCGAAAGCTTAAGGGCATTTATAGCCATATTAATTTTCTTACATGTGAAGGAGATAGATTTTATAGAGCTGCTGGTCACGCACGTAACTCTTGAAGTAGAGCCACTTGTGGTTCCTACATCATTCGCAAAAATACCACTGAAAAGGTCTGCCATAGTTTTAGAGTCGTATATAAAAGTGTTATTATGCTGGATGCATGGTTTATCAACATTTTGAGTTACTTTAGTGAGTTTATTGAGAAGTAGAGTTAAGTTTTATACTTTTGAGTTACTATTAAGTGCTAGTATCTCCTCATTAATGGCTTTTAACCTATGTGTCTCTTTAATTTGATTAAAAATTATTGTTATTTGTGCAGCTGCCATGAAGTTGTTTGACTTGAAATAACGATTCTGTAGGCGTCTTAGTTTATTACGATATTTAGCCGGTATATATAATTCGTAAGGTTTAATAAACCTGTACGTTTTAAGAGGTACACAAGAATCTAAAGAAAAGTTAACGATCAAATAGAATTCGTCGATAGCATCTATGAGACTAGTACATGAAAAAAAGTTATCCCAGTCTGAAAGTTTAATCAGTGAATGCAGGAGGTCCCAGTCGGCATGCTTAAAGTCTCTATATTGACAGGTTTTTTGAATGGGTCGGTTAGAAGAGGGATAGATAGGGAGAGCGCATACTACTATCTTATGGTCACTGCTTTCAAATTCATCGTATACTTTTACAGATAGTGGGATAATATCTCTACTAAATATTAGATCGAGTATACTATCACCTCTAGTTGGGGTATGAACCCACTGTGACCAACAGTGCATGTTAATGGTTGCCGAGAACTCCTCATTACATGACTGACAGCTACCGGTAATCCAGTTAATCCCGGGATAATTGAAATCCCCTGTGATAACCTTAGCATTGAAATTTAGAGCAGATGCATGTATGAATGCATTGATAATAAGATTATTCCCATTATTTGAGCTTTCAGGAGCTCTGTATATACATCCAAGGAGTAGACTATGATTCAGGGTGTTGACAGATATCCAGACTGATTCTAGTAAACTATTCAGGACACTATCTTCAACTTTATTAGTTGTTAGGGTATCCAAAGCATATATAATACAACCACCTCCTCGCTTAGTTTCTCTGTCAAAGCGATAGAGTCCATAGTTTTGGATATTTAATTCTGAATCAGATATTGCATGAGAGCACCATGTTTCAGTGATAAGCATGAAAGAAGGCTTGGATAGAAAAGCTAATGTTCTCAAGGCTGAAATTTTGTTCATAAGTGAACGTGCATTGATAAGTAATAGATTTAAAAAGAGCGTATGGAGTGTAAAAAACCGAGAGCTTCCCTATTGATGTCGTGTATTTTGGATTTGCATAGACTGTGGTTTATTATGTTTGACTGATCACATGGGCGATCGCTTGAGCAAACTGTAGTGCTAGTGGGACCAGGGATTTCTGAAGGCCAAAAAAATCATTATTTTGATAAAGCGGATTAATTTGTTGAACTTGACTAGGCGGACAGTTAAGACAAGCACCTGCTAGTTGAGGTTGGGTTGATGGTGAGTAACCCAGTAATCCATCTTGCCCAATGGGAAAGTGTTGAGAGAGGTTACGTCTCACAGGTTTATCATTTAAAACGTTTGAGGGTACTCGTGGGGCTCGTTGGTTTACTATGGTCTGTCCAATATTAGGCCTACTTACATAATGATTGAAGTGACCGTCTTGTGAGACATTTGAATCAGGTCTGCCCTTATATCCTCCCCTACGATGCGTTGGGTAAAGCATGGTGTCGGGGAAGTATAGTCTTATTAGTATTTAGTAGAGCCATCGTAATATTTTTATTATTGGGTCTAGAACCAGGAGGTTCTATACAAACATTCTTCTTACGTGGCATAGACTTTTTAATCTTGACAGTGTTTTTAAGAGCTGTCGCATTAGGACTAGGTATTTGCTTATGGGCTTCTAATGGTAAATTGGATACTATCGGATTAGTGTCATCAGTAGATGTACATTGGTTATCAGATGTCACTACAGGCATAATAGGTAAGTTAGCACTCTTCGTTGGCAGATCAGAGTACTGGAGAACATGAGATAGGGTATCAGTATCAGTGGATGCATCGTAATTTTTTATGATCTCAACATCTTTATTTTCGTTCAGGGTACGTTTTTGCGTAAGTCTTTGATTGGTGGTCTTATCTAAGACTATGCGAGCGTTTCTAAACTTCGTAAGCGCGCATATTAGCCGCTCAGATTCTTTTAACTGTTCAGCTAATATATGAGAATCAAACCTGAACAAGACCGGGCACGAGTATTTCTGGTGCTTCTTAGTGAGTCGGATGCATTGGCATGGACTGTCTTGAAGGTTAGATTCTTTTAATATCGAATTCCTTACAGTTTTAATGGGGACTTTGTCAGGTATATTATAGACAACTTGAAACTAAGAAATAAGATTATCTCACCTTCGTACCAACATACCTTTAAACCATTAAACCTTATTTACATATGAACATGAACAGATATACGATCGTTAGTTAAGATACTTAACAGGGTCTACTACCAAAACGTGTTTATAAGTGTTAGGTGTTATTCCAGTGAAATGAAAACCATACATTCCATTTTGTTATAAGCTTTCCATCACAGACGATAAGGAATTAGTTTTCCCATACATTTTTAACATCAAAGATCGGTGTATAGCATCTCTCAAGTAGGTCAATTTTGAGCTATGAGGTCACACAATATTAATACATCTAATTCAGGTACTTCTGTATAGTGAGACGTTGGGAAGCAACATCAGATTACTCATATCCAATGAAGCATATTTCTCATGCACATCAAAATTCCCCTTCATATGTACCCTATGTTCATGAAGTCAATCACAGTTCTCACAACCTGTGACTTGAACCTACCATCCCTAGTATGGCAAAATCACTGTTAACCCCATGTTAGAGCTTCAACGTTTAAAGGGTATTTCAAATAGAACGGGGCTTTACAACTGATATCCTAAGATACTGTGCTTCTCTGATATGTTTATAAGTTTTAAACGTAGCTATCTACTGCGAATCTCATGCTCTATAGGTATAACACAAGATTCAAAAGAACAGTAAATTACGACGATATCCGTAGTTCTCAGTCAAAAACTTAGTACCCGAGGTTTAAACAAAGTCAAGAATATGTCTAACCAATAGGTATCAATCTTACCTCCAAAAAATCACGTAAGTAGGTGAATCTAATTATGAGTCTACCTTCAAAACTCTATGAAAACGTGCGTGGTCCTTTTCTGCATCAAGTTATACAATCATTTGCTTCAAGCCGACCCTACACTAATTCATAAAACATTGTCAGACTCGGTGGTCATTGAAATCAACCTAACAATAGACAGAAATCCTTTTTCATGTTCTTGTAAGTGTGCGCGTAAACAGCTGGAAATTTTGAAAATTAAAAAAGAAAACTAGTTTTCCAGTCAGAAATAGACATGAGAGTTACTAAAGCACTAAGCAACTTTTTTTCTAGTTTAGCCCAGTGAAGTATTTGGTTTACTGTTGAAATAATGATCAAGAGAGTTAGCAATCTGAAGTCGAAAGTCGCTAAATATTGCTTGGTACCATTGTGAACATAATAAGCTATTGATGTTTATAAGTTTATTTTAAACCATCTACAGGTAAAATGTAGAGCGAAAAACAGCTTAGAGGCAATAGTTGTGTAAATCCTTAATGATTGATCACCGATAGAATCATAATAAGAGTAGCGAAGAATTATTCAGTATCCAACAATCTATATCATCTATAGCACTATGTGTTGGTCTACAATTGGTATACTTAGTGCAGGTGTTGGAAATGAGAACAGAACATTCTAGAGTAATAAGTATCTAGAAACTACTACCAGCATGCTACAGAACTACCGAGTGAGGACAGTTTAGATTAAAAATAGTTGCAGGATAAAACTATACACATGTCATCATACCGTTGACTAGCAGGTGATAAGCATTAGCTAAGCATATGACATACTACTGTAAAAGTAAAGTGACTTTTGACATGAGCTACATAAACTTTACGAATGCTGAAAACTGAGAGTGACGAAATACTGAGTCATAATCCTACAGTAAATACTAAGGCGCCGATCTATTCAAAGCTCGGTAATTCAACATAAGTAGAAGTTTGCCTATATGTCGAGTTCCTATTCTGTTATATTTCTTTGTAATCTATATCATTGGACAGTATATGTACTGACCACTTCCTATAAACCAATGCATTAAAAAATATAAACGCTAAACATCTTATAGATTACTAGTAAGGGGTTGTAGAGGTTATTGAATTTCATCCAAATCATGAACCGATCGAAGTAAAACAACCATTGAAAATCTGAAAGTATTGGACAGCCATTTCATCCTAGTATAGGACTTCTCAGCAATGTCGCATCCATGATCCCACAACCTTACGTCTCGCGCCCAAACGTTGTCTAGAGATTCTAGGCCTCCAATGGTAGTTTAAATTAGATCGGTTTATGATTTCAACCAAATCTTATCGATTGTGAATAATTGTACAAAAATTTTCTTATTTGAAATAAACCATTTTATTATTATTGAAACAATAAGATTAAATTGTTCATTAATAATCATTTTATAGTTCAAATAAATAAACAGATATGACAAAGAAACGGAGAAATTTGGCAATGGACAATAATACCTGATTTAACTGAAATTTGTCACCTCTATAGAAGTAGAACAATATAATTATATGATAATTATCAGTAGTGTATCGAATAATAATAAATAATAATAATATAGTTATAGAAATCTTATCACACTGATTAGTATTGGGGATATTTGTTGTAACAAGTAGTGTACGTATTTTGTCCGTGTGTATCTGTGTGTACGTGTATGAATGGACTGATTGGTTGATTACATCAAATTGTATGTGTTTCTCTTTAATGGAAGAGACAGTAGTATGTATTATTTTTGTTGTGAAAAGCAATTTCAATCATTCAAACACGGAATCTATTCATCTTGATAAATACAGACAAACATAAACACACACCTAAATGACATCAGTTTTATGGGGAAGAATCTCCATAGAAAGGAAAAGAAATATATTTACAGTTGAATTCATAGAATACCATTGTTGTTATATCTTACTAGTACTGCTGTTAATCATACCAACGGTAGCAATTAGCAATAATAATACCGATTATTGTTATTACCAAGACAAGTAGACATTACAAACGATTAACAGACTATCAACACCACACAATCACAGTTAACAAATATTAAATTTCCTTTTAAAAATATAAATTATGTAAATAATTATCAAAAGATATAAAGTGAAATTTGGAATCCGACAGAAGAAGCACAAAACAAAACGATGACAACGAGAACGACAACAAAAAACAATAGTAATTTTACTAATAATCATAATTGTAGTCTCTGGTATAGACAATAACTGCCATCATTTAATCTCTCTGTATCTGTGTATGTGTACGTGTGCAAAAGGAAAACATTTCATAAAACAGATAAATTTTTAATAATTGTTTTCTTCTTCTCTATATTGTTAATCAATTCTGACTGTATGTACTTGACATTTAAAACAAACAAAAATCCAGTAGAACTACATTGGATAATAATTGATTATTCATAATACACAACGACACACTGAGATTGACCATTTTAATTAACTAACTTCATATTCAGGATCTATCAATAAAGAGAAAGAGAAAATAAAGTATAGTTCAGTTATGTGATGTACGATTTCAAATAAAAAAAATTAATCTAGAAACCTATTTAACAAAACGTTCGGATAATATGTTGGTATTTGAAGTGAAGAGTACTGAGTTAGAGTCCCAAATACAATAAAACGAGCGCCCACGATTCTAGTGATAGTAAAAACTCATCTATCCTATAAAACTTGTGGTCAAATGGTTATATCGAGGTGATCCGCGCACGATTTACATATCCCAACAATGATTGATCAGCTTGACATCCAGTGTCGACTAGAAGTGCAAGAATCCTGTTTAAAATGAATTTGTTACTGAGTAGTGATCAATATCATGTATGTCGAGACCTTCTTAGTGTTGGTCGAATTCTATCGATCAAGTTGCGATATGACTGTTAGGTTGACTAGAAATTAAGTGAACTATGTTAAGATGTAAGTTGGCAGTTGGAAGAAGTCGACAGAAATCCATCAGGGAGTATCAGATACCTCAAGATTACAGGTATGCCTTGTTGACAAATGCCAGGTAGAGTAAATCATAGGTCCAAAACTTCCTGTAGATCACCTCCCATCACTACCTTACCAAAATAGCGCCTTTCTCGTCTAGGAGAGTAATGTTTACAAGCACAGTAATGTTTTATTAACGTCTACACAGAACTACTTGAATCCAACGATAGTATTTATGACAGGAACAAGAAGATACTATAGCGTTTATGTATATGAAATAGTTGCTTACTAGCGTTAATGAACTAATCTGAACATATTTTATTTCTGGTATAGCAGTTGGAAACTTAAACATAGAACGATGATTTAACGATTAAAGCACTCACTATTCAACCAGTAGATCGCTCCACATTTAGGTTTTGACAGCTAGTTCGAGTATCGCTAATCCACAACATGAACAATGCGTGACTCAAGGTGAAATGTACGTAAATTTGTATTTACATAACAAAGTAAACAGCTTTTGTTCCCAATTAATAAGACAATAGAGAAAAAGTGAGAGTAAATTGATAAGACAGATCATGTTATCGGTTATTTATAATCAAAGTAGAGCATATCAAAAATGTAAGTTCAAGTTGCTATATCACATCATCACGATCAGATGACAATAAAAAAAACAGGAGTGAGAAAACTGTCGAAGCAATGTGGTAGCAACAATACTGAGAAAAAACTAGACATTTAGAGTATGGTTCAAGAAGATAATAAAAAATATACGAAGGAATACTGGAACTTAAGATGAAGAAGAATGAATGTACTAGGGTCTGTGTCATCAACTGTGACCCATATCATTTAAAACTATCGACCACTGATTGTAGTTATTTGTGTGTATAGGACCTTACGGAACATTCTTCGACACTGGTATACCCGTGAAGATCGTCAACATCAAACGGAATTCGTACGACGAACTACAGTGCCAAGTCGTGCATGGAGGATAGCTGACATATGCATACATACATAGGCTTACTCTCTCATTTCTCCTAACTTTTGATGGTTGACTAGATTCTGAAGACTTTCACATCTAAGGGGAAGAATGGAGTACGATGGACAAGTTGGATGCAACCAGACGATTTGAACATCCAAATGATCTGACCCTACTATCCCATACACATCAACAAATGCAGGTCAAGACAGTGTAGCAGAAGCATCTGCATCAGTAGGTTTCAACATACACAAGGGAATAAGCAACATCCTCAAATACACTTGATGGAGAAACTCTGTAGGAGGTGGAATCTTCCACGTACTTGTGAAGCATCATCGATGATGCAGACTTAAATGTAAAGATTGGCAAGTCAAGGACAGCATTCATCCAGTTGGACAACATATGCAATTCAAAACAATTATCAACCAATATTAAAGTAACAATCTTGAGTACGAACGTCAAGACAATCCTACTGTACAGAGCTAAAACTCCCAGAGCTACCACAACCATCATCATCAAATCTGTATAAGTATTTCTAAACAATTACCCACACAAGATACTGAATGTCTGTTGGACGGATACCATCAGCAACAGTGTACTATGAGAGAGAACAAACTAGCTTCCAACTGAGGAGGAAATTAGGGAAAGACGTTGGAAGTGAATAGGACACATATTGAGATCATCAAACTGTATTTATTATTTATTTATTTTAACACATAGGTATTGGTACACGGAGGCACCAAATACATATGCGCCACACGAATCTCACTCGTGTGAGGGTTGTGATACTGCCCGGGTGCCCAAACCGAAGCAGGTGGTTTTCTTAGGGGGCCACACCCCGAGCCTTCGACCTGAACGTCTGACCCACAAGGCAGTGGAGCATCGTAAAGATATGCAGTCCCATGGTAGCCGGTGACCAACAATTGGTTCGTACGCCATTTGTTCCTTCAGGATACTGGAGCCTATGTGCACCATTGATTTGGGATCCGGTTAAAGCGCCGGAAATTCGCTTTTCGTCCTCTCATTTTCGTAAACAACACCCCCGCCACGAGAAGGCAGTGAGTAGGACTTCCGTGCATCACGAGGCAAGCGCTAACTTGGAATCGTGAAGGGAAACGGAAAAGAGGAAGGTTAAAGAACACACTACGCCGAGAATTGGAAGCAGACATGAAGAGGATTGTTCAGGACAAAGTTGAATGGAAAATGCTGGTGGGCGGCCTATATTCCTCCACGAGAGGTAACAGGCGTAAGTAAAGTCGGTAAGATTGTAGTTATTTTGTGGATGCCAACAAGGTAGTTTGCATCTACCAATGTGGCTTAGATCAACAGTCAGAAATTTCATGAACTGTGTTATATGATTGTAATATCATTTCACACTTTTTATCTTATAAGTTGTATTCACCAAAATACCAGTCAAAACCTAATAAATAACAATACAAAACAATGACAACAATAACGACATAGGTTAGACACAAGTCTCATATTGTCAACATAAACGTTATATATTTTTCTCGATAAGTTAAAATTGTTATTATATTCGCTTGTACGAGTTAATAATATCTATTCCAAATTTCATGTAGTATTGTATAAGGAAAAATTTAGAGGCCACGTGCAACTGTTAATAAACAGACTTCAGAGACACGTATTGATGATTGACACATGGACCATATGATAATTATTAGTACCGAACTGAGTAAACGTTATTAAGTACATAGACTATATGAATGACCTATATATATATATATATATATATATATATATATATATATATAATAAGTATTTAGGAGAACCAAGCTGCTATACCTTGATGTAGTGTCTGATTAGTTATTGCCCACAATGAATACTATGTTGAGTAGGATATAAAGATTAAGACGGATAAAACAAAACACGATAATTTGAGTAAAAAGTTAATGATTAGAAATACAAGGCAATTGGTCACTAGTGTGTCCCATTCACTAATCCATAAATATGGTGACAGCTCCAACATAAATGTAACAAGTCTGATGAATTGAATAAACCTTTAGGCGTTGAATATTTTTATTTTAAATAATAGAAAGTATTTATAAAAGCAACATACTTTTTACAAATCGTTGTGGTACATTTGCTAAACTACGAACAGTATCGCCAGCTACTTGATTACATTTGGACCATAAAGCTTTTACTGCACCCATTGCTTCACTTAGTTTGCCTTCATGTTCATCGTCTTTATTATTAGCATTGTGACTTGAATTATCTGCATTTTCATTAACATCACAACCAAGATTATCCTGATCTGAAGGATATACAGAAATTAATAGATCATTTGGAATATTGGATGAGGGAAGTGGTGGTAGGTTAGACGGTCTTGTCGTATGAATTTCTACTAGAGGCCATGAATTAGCCACGGAAGGATGTAGAACTTTTTCTTTTAAATTATGACATAAGTCATCAAATTCCTTTTCAGTTGAGCATAAAAAACCTAACACCATGCTTGGATCTAATCGTTTAAGCGGGATACGTATAGGATTATCACAATGATATGTTTGATCATAATCTGGTTTTAAATTACCGCGACCAGCGGGTTGAGTAGTATGTGGATCTAAACAGATTACATCATCATCAGTAACACCTACAATCCAGACAGCATGGCATGGTGAACCGCCTAATATTCCGACACAATGTGGCAAACGAAATACAGCCTATAAAAAAGGCATTTAAAAAAATTGTTAATCAAGAGTAAAGATGATAACATTTGGTATGAATGAATAAATAAACATTCAGTGTAAAACTGTCTAATTTCAATATATAAACGGTAGATGATAAATGTCAATAAACAATAGGAAAATCATATTTTTATACATAAGATAAACACCTATTTGTAAACTTAACGCTGTGTACATTCCGTACAAAGAAAATGTTAAAAATCACACGACTAATAGCTGATATTATCGGCTCTTTTTTATGTCAGGTAAACTTTCAAACATAATGAATAAAAGTATATGTTATGATGCGCAGTGTCCGAGGGGTGATACCGTTAAGCAATCTTCCCATACTCAGGTCTGCACATACACACGAGAGAAGAATGAGGAATATAATTTGGCTAACCGAACCAAGAAATAAATGTACACTGATTTATATATATCATGCAATTAAGCCTTTTAGCAGTTTATATCTTGTCCCTTGTAGAATAGAGCCATCTGCTGGCCAATCACATGCATTTACACATTTGGCTAGTTCTGATTGGCCTATTGTATCAAAATATTACTTGAGTAGTTCTGTTTGTAGTGAAGGGAGAAGGCGCTCGATTATTTTAGTATAGCGAATTTTAACGGCTCGTAGGGTTGGGAAAAAAATACTTGACTTGATAAGTTATTTCATAATGACAACTTCAATCAAATTATTTGAATATTCGGTTATAAAAAGAAATATACGGGATAATAAAGTTGTAAACTCGCATAGTAATCTAGAAAAGGTGACAGAATACACTTGTGTTAATTGTAAATTTTTTATCCATGCATATGTACGTTTGCAGAGGTGAACTGACAATCATGTCTGGTTTTCTCGGGTATAGCACAGTTCCAGTTCGGGTTTAAATGACCATGGACTACATGATTACGTATTCAAGTTGATTACTATCTGTGGTTATTTATATGCACCTTTTATATGAGCCCGGATGATCAAATAGAGGGACTGGGTAAACTGAACCCAATTGACGATGGACACTTATCTTTTGACAACTGATACTTAATCTCAATTAGAATATGACATCAATTTAAGTTTGTCTAGAATAAAAAGTGATATTGATACTCAAAAATGATGTTTGTATTTGTGTGTTGAACTCATAGTGTTGTTCATAAAGATATTGATTGTATTAAACTCCATTTATTAATAAATCAAAACAACTATGCCAATAGTGTCAACAAAATATGTTGAAGGGTATATAATATTGAATTAGTGAAAATACAAAAAGAAGATACTATTTCTCATACTTTGATTGCATTGAAATAACATGGATTAGGATTATGTAACCCAAGTCGAAGAGGAATAAATAACAATAGTGGCCTCCAATTCGATGAAGGTGAATTTGTTGAGGAGGATGAGGATTTAACATGTACAGAGGCAATAGTAGTGCTGTTAAATTGATAGTTATTGTATTGATTCGTTTGATCCATAGGAAGTTGATTTTCTCGACAATCTTTATGAGTATTATCATCAACAGGAATGGAAATCTTGTTATCTTCAAGAATCGATGAAGAAAGATGGGGATTAATTACATTAGATGTAGATAATACATTTGATTCATTTGATTGAGTATTAACAAGTATTGAACTAGTGAAAGTTGGAGGTAAAACTATTTCTATACAACTATCATCCACTTCTCTGGTAACAGGTAATTGAAGTTGAGATCGTAAACTAAAATTTTACAAAACACGATGTTACGTAAATAATACACGAAACAAAAAAAAACAAGAATCAGTTAGAATATTGTTTCATTAAGATATATACATCATAATTAAAATAAACCATTGTGTCACTGAATAAAAATAAAGAGAATTCAGTCACGTTTGTCTATACAGAATTTCAGAAAATTGATTCTGGCATTCGCTATAGAAAGCTTGACAGAAGAAACTGAGGAACCCACTGAGTTCCTTCACTGTCACTGGATCCTTGCAACTTTTCGGATAATTAAAATAACCCATTGTTTCATTGAATAAAAAAGTTGCAAAGATCCAGTGACACTAAAGGAACTTAGTGAGTTTCTCAGTTTTTTCTGTCAAGCTTGCTATGGTGAATGCCAGAATCAATTTTCTGAAAAGCTGTATAGACAAACGTAGCTGGATTCGAGATACATACATGACTAATATTTTATCAGTATGAAATATTCGAAGTCACGCAATAAAAAGTTCTACGGTTTTTTATCGTTAAATATTATCATACTATTGTAGTGAACAAGAACACCAATGGGGACAATCGAATGTATTTGACAGCAAATTACAGAACTAGTTAGTAAAAGCTAACAACCATATATCAAATGCTCAATTGTTTCAAATGACTCGGACTTCCTTTGTTCTTGCATTTTCACACAAATTGTATGCTGTCTTCATTCTTTACTGTTCGGTCTTCTTGTCTCTCTGCTGGCAGACATTCTGTTCACGACTCACGTCATATACTACTTATGTCTACATAAGTAGCACACACCACACTATATTTATAATGTTTAGTAAGCCCATTTTTATTATGAGCCATAAATAACTAGATTATTTACTTTTTACTAATAAACTTGGAATATCTAGATATTCGAACATATCAGTAATATTTCAATCCTGTGAATAAATCCCATAAAAACTAAACAATTTATAATTAATTATTTTAGCCGTGATTTTTATGTGAAAAATAGATGGTGTATAAATTTAATCATAAATTAGTCAATATACTGGTTGCTTTTATACAGGGAACATTTTACAAATCATAGAAATCTGTGTTGTAAGATGACATAACATTAGTTACTGTTAACTTATTAAGTCAACCGGGTAAGTGTTAGTATGTAGTTGAATTTTTTCTTTCACTTTAGTTGGATGCAAGAAGCTCATTTAAGGAATGATTTACATTTGGCTACGATTTATAGGGTGAATTCATTTTTAAGTTATGCAATCAACTATTATTGATATTTCATAACATACTACTATTTTCAGCCCTTTTATTTATCTCGTTCATTTTATCTCATTGTGTTGATGTATCGCTGATGGGTTCAGATCACCTGATGATTACGGTTTGAGTGATTGTCGTAATTAACAGTTTGAGATACTGGATTAAAATCGGCCGCAGTGGCGTAGGTGCATTCACTATTGATCTTAGTTTGGATTTTGAGTTTCGAAATTATTAGTTTTACTACTGTGGGAATAGTCTTCATAGTTTCATCGCACTATGCTGATGGGGTAAATTAACTTGGACCGATGAAAATACGTACCAGGTTTTACGCAGCGTATAACTTGTTGCGCCGCACATTTGTATCAAGTCATACGTTAATTATAACCCCTCCTGTAGCTCTTCTAGGGTTACTGCTGATCCTAACACGGGTAAAGGAAGAGGGCTAGGCTTGTGGTCAGCAACCCCATCCCGCAGAAAGCAAACTTGCTAAAAAAAACACTAACCAGAATACGCTGATTATGAGTGACTTATTGACTAATATACACTTTGCAGGAAAACAGAAAGTTTTTCGTAAAGTAGAAAGAATACACACTATATTTTCTATAGGGAGGCTGTACGGTTATAATTTATTGAAAAAGAAAACAGAACCAAAGTTTCGTATTCATTGCCACTTCTACACGAATTGTACGTGTTATAACACGAAGAAAAATTTGCATAACTCGTGTCGATTGAGTGACTGGTCTCCTGAAATGCTCAGTGCTCCGATGAACCAATATCAGAAGGCAGAATAATTTATCAGTAGAAATGACATTTTATGTGACAGAATCACACACTTATATACAGTATGTTTTACACAAGATAAACACCATTAGGTTCGTTTAAAATGTTAATGATTGTTAGATATGAGTTTTGAAAGTAATTCATAAACCTGTTACACTAAAGCTTCACTAATAGGATCAGATATTGTTCGTCATATCAATCAGTACTTGAGATTTTTTGAAATTTAATATAACGTCAGAGATTAAAATATGTATTATTAGGCGTCAAAGTGATAGACGCAAGTAATTAACTGTTCAGGTTCTGACTGATCCCTCTCACAAAAACGATTGCTTCTACAAAGTCATCAACCACAAAGGTAAAGGAAAGTAACAAAGTCAAAGAAACCCTAACTAATAGGTCAATACTATTTTTAGATAATTTCAACCTCCAAGAGCTTTCAGCGAAACAGGTCTAGAGTTTGATCCCCAGTCAGGTCATGAATATGCATTTCTGACAAGCCCCATACATGAAAAGACGAAACAGATCTCCATTTTTCCATAGTTTTCAACAGTTATCTAGCTGAGATCAAGATGTCTAGTGTAATCTATGAAGATAGTTGCATAGTTTGTCTTTGTGAAGTTTCCGCTGATTCATTTAAAACAAATGCCTAAAAGAGAGACTGGTCTGAACCACAATGCTATCCTAATAAATTAAAAGTAACATTAACATGCAGAAAAAGTATACAAATTATTCGCCTGTTGAAATACTATCTAGTAGGTTCATCAAAAAATCGGTCAAACATAATAAACAAATTGAACTTTGCAGTTAACTAACAAGCATGAAACCTACTCAATTATTTCTGAATCATAATTACGCATACTGAGAGCTTCATTGTTCCAATCACAACTTTGATTTACATCAATAACAGATTGAGCAAATGGACAACTGTATGAAGATGATGATGAGTCCGATTCTTCTGCGGGATCATCTTTACATTCATCAGCACTAGGTTTCATCGATTCGGATTGACTATCAATTTCATTAGCATTATTAGTGAAATTGAAATAAGGTCGATGTTGGCAGCATAAAGATTCTGATTATCAGAAAAAAAAGAAGAGAAATATACTTTTGTAACCTGGTATCTGACTGAGCTTTGATAATACGAAGATCCTATGAACATAAATCTTCCATTTAACTCCGTATATTACCTAGACTAACCTCGTTTGTGTGACGGCAGTAATAAGAAACCATATCCGGATTGCGTTGGAATAATTCATTTCAGGCACTCGTTTATCCAGGTAAACATTCAGAATAAGAAGCGGAGAAGGTGAGTCAACTCGATTTGATCGGGTGACTCGGTATTTATAATCAGACCAAAATAAGCTACGGACGTGTGATAGGTAGGGTAAGCAATGCACAGAAATGTACTCATATAAAAACAGTCAACGTTAATAAGCGAATAATTGAAAACGTCAAAATGTAACTCAAGAAGAATGAATAATTTGGTCCGTCCGGAAGCTAGAATAACCCATGTGGGCTTGATGTGGTACTAGACACTACAAATACTTTAGAAAAGAATAGTATGTGAATGCATGTGAAGCACACTACGAATTTATTTATATAAACACATAAACATTGATACAAGGGGGCACCAAATAGATATGCACCACATTAATCATTCGATTTGTGTGAGAGCTGGGATACTGCCCGGGTGCCTGAACCGAATTACACTGAAAATGATAAAAGTAAATTGAGCTTTATTAAACAGAGCAGAAAAAACAAGGGCTTGCAGAATAAAATCAATTCATTATTCTATTTGATATAGTAGTGCAGAGTAGAACAAGTGTTATAGTTGCCAGTAATTGTAATCAGGATAAAAGAGGTTATGCAAAAGGTAGTGAAATTAATAAGTGATTAGATAATCGCTAAAAATGATAAGATAAATATGTGGACATCCATAAGATTATGTAAGAGATAACTATCAAAGGATGAAGAAAGAGCTGGAAACATCTAATCACTATCACTCTTTCCTTCTGTATACATGGGTTGGCTCGGAAATATATCATGGAAATTGCCTCTGCAAAACACAGTAAGATTGACGTTTTTTATATGTTAATTATTTTGAATGGATTATTTAAATTCGCTTCACATCTACTATCCAAAAGGTTTCAGGCAATTACACTTGCAAACATTTTACTCCCTTTTAGATATAGTTTCCTAGGAATGTGTTTAGAAAACTTATTGGAGTCTTTTCTTCTTGTTATTTCAATTTACTTGCTATCGCTGGTATATGTAAATTCATAGATGAGATTGGAGGTGACGTCAGGAGGGTATCGATCTACTTTGAATGGTATAAGGAGCACTTGGTGTTGTATTGAGCGGCAGAGTAGCTTCTTTTCAGTGCCGCTTTGATTCTCATATCGATTATTCCTGAAATCTTATTTCTTTTGAACGGAAGAAAGATGAAGACGGGTTTTTTAAAAAGTTGTTTGTTTATCATCTTTAGGATGTTCTTATCTATATTTTGCAATAAATTTCTTCGGATATATGTTTTTAATTAAGTGCTTTTCTAGCATAGCCAATTCTTCATCCAATTCATTGATTGAGCATAAAAATCTAATTCTGTTGAAGAGGATTTTGACTAGAGATCTTTTGTAATTGATAGAACAAAAGCTATTATGGGTTAAATACTACCTCGTCCATGTTTCTTCCATATACATACTTTTCTCAAGAGTTCCATAGTTTTTCCGTCCTACACTAAGATCTAAAACAAGTGAGTTAGCTGTCTCTTTCATATTCCATTGTAAACATTATGTTTGGATGATAGTTGTTGAATTGACTAAGCAGCTGAAAAATATAATCTATATCATCACAGATAATGAACGTATCATCGACATATCTGAATTAGTATGTTGTTCTGGATTTCGTATTTTAATTTTGTTTGTTTGAATTTTGTCATGAGTATCTTTTTAAAAATGTGAAAATAAATGTGTTAACTTTTAGTAAAACGATTACGAATTGAGTTTCCAGTTAGAGATTCACGGTAATTACAATAAACGAACAATCAAGATTATTCTAATACAAATAGAAAGGCAACTGACACATGACAATATTCTGATACTAATAACTCATAGGTTGACAGCACACAGACAGAAAGGAAGGATCGTTACTTTATTTTCCAAAGAGAATTCAAAAATCGAGATAGAATAACTTCATTTATACAGTGACACCTAATGACGTTGGGTTGCAACAAAACTAGCAAAATAAAAATGACGGCAACCAGTCAGGTAACAGCAAAGACCATTGGAGAAAAATATTACGGAAATTTTGTTGAGATTGTCCTTTCAACAATGAGTTAACATCCAATAACACTAATTTGGCCCCCGAATGCCCTGGTAAGGCCGATGGTGGAGAGAGTCAGATCTCCCTCTCGAAATGTTCTCACATGGCCACGCGTATATAGCTTCTGCCAGGGAAGTCCTACTCACTGCCTTCTCGCACCACGGGTGTGTTGTTTACGAAATTAAGAGGATGAAAAGCGAATATCCGGCGCTTTAATCGGTTTGGTGGACATGGAGAATCCACCTAAGTGAGTTGGAAAACCCTGATTCCAAACCAACGGTGCACATGGGCTCCAGTATCCTGAGGGAACAAATGGCGTATGAACCAATTGTTGGTCACCGGCTACCATGGGACTGCATCTCCTAACGTTGCTCCAGTGCCTTGTGAATCAGACCTTTATGGTAGAAGGCTCCATGTGTGGCCGCCGACCCGGGGGATAACACAACACACACACAAATCAAGTGACTTATGTGGCGCATATGCATTCGGTGCTCCTTGATACAGATAAAATTAATTAATTAGATAGCGAGAGATAGAACAGTTAGTGTTAGGGGATCATATATAATGAACTAAAGGAGTCGAAATAATAATAACGATAATAATATGCATGTTAGTACACGGTTTCAATCTAAGAAAATGAATTAATGGAATAGCAAATAAGTATCAAATAATATTAAAACTCGGAATCTAAAGGAGGATAATTTAATGAATACTTCACTGTCACTGAAACTGACTGCGGTGATCGGACGAGAACCGGTGCTTTCAACGTGGTATGGTCTTCCTTTAAACTAAGAGATTAAAATCACTTCAAATCTTTCTTTCTACGAACTAATTCTATCTTCCTGTACTATATCCTTATACACACTCTTTCTTCTATATATTACCACCACTGAATTAACTACTTCTATGAATCCGGTGTTCATCTTGTTGTGCTAATGCGGTATGGCAACTTGGACCGATGCATATACGTGCCTGGTCCTACGTTGCAGCTGACTGACTGACTGACTGAAACTGACTAAGCTATGCATAACTGTCGGGCTATATCGAAAATTGACCGAAGTTACTATTGTACCGTTGGGTGACAACTCAGTTGTTCAAACGAATAGGTATTCGTCACCAGACCTGAGTGTCCTGGGTTCGATCCCTGGTGGGATCCTGAATACCTACTGTTGAGAAGCCTCACACTGGGGCAGAACAGCTACCTAGTGCTCCCTACCCTTTATTGTCATCGCAAATGAGATCAACTTGCGACGAATACACACTACAAAGTCCCCACAATCGTTGATCACAAATACATGGTAGGTGGTCAAACGATCTGTGTACCATCAATACAAAATCATTCAGCCTAATTTACAACCTCTAGAAATATACTTCTTACCACTGACAAGATTATATATTAAATAAAATTGTACATAAATTAGATAAAATGTAGCTAGCAGTGGAATCCAGGACATGCGCTTCGTTCTGTTTGGGACTCGTCAGTCGGATGAACCCGCATCCCAGAGTTGATGTTCACTATGAGACTTGAACCCAACACCGTTTGCTTTAAACACCATCGCGTTATCCACTTAGCAACTAATTCCATATAGCCATTCACTTATTTGACGAGTATGAGATTTAATTCAATTTGAAATGGCTTAAATTATACCGTTGTTAATATTTCTGACTGAATTTTGATCAGTCTTTGTCAGTATATGGGCACCCCATACATATTGACTCAATATAGACATTATGACACAAATTTATATAGATTATATGAAGTGTAGCTAGCAGTGGAATCTAAGACGTACGTATCGTTTTATCATAATACGAATTATATCGAGGCTAATCGTACAGGATGCTCATATACCAACCAAGATTGATCAGATTTCAGTCAAAAATATAAACAACGGGATAATTTAAACCAATCCAAATTGAATTAAACGCATATGTGGTGAACAACAACCAATAAAAAGAATATGAATTCATCTAAATCTACAAATACTAATGCATTTCTGGTGTCAATACTGCTGTCAAAAACTTTTGAATGGAGCGCATTTAATAAAATGAAACAAATATAAACTAATAAATACAGCGTTCACAATTGGATAGTACAAAAAAAGAACTGTTGGTTTTTGTTAGATATGAAAGAATAATTGAAGAACGTGAGATTGTCTAAAACTATTCTAAGAGCGTTTGTTCTAATATTACTTTTAATTTAGATTTATTGATTCATTTAGTTAATAGTTGTTTTATTTTTATTGCCCTGTGATTGTAAACTTTCATTTAAATCATTAATTATTAATAGATGTTTCACAATTCACAAAAAGAAAATTAACGCAAATCAATGATGCAGTAATCATTCAGTGTTGTACTACAAATGACCTAGTTATGTACAAATTGTAATTTTTTATATATGGTGTATTGTGGTTTTGTAATTAGTGTATATTATCATATGAATTTTTAGGTTAAAATATCAAGAGCAATAGAAGGTAAATTAGCCTGTTGAGTTTATATTCTGATTGATCATTAGAGATAGAAAGAGCTGTATGGACCAGTAGACGTTAAAATATTTATCAGTATGGGGTAGTGGAGATTATTAAGTTTTTGATTGAGATCATGAAGCGTATACTGATAATTACCATGTGCTCACTAGTGACTAGATTTGTGAGGAAATTCTCGGGGTTCTAGTGAGAAGCCGTGACCAGTGGAGCTAATTTGTTTTAAAAATAACTGATCAACCGATCAACAGTCAATACTATGGCGCATAAA